CTGAAGTTATGCAGAGCCCTCTTCAGCAGGTTTCTGTTGAGGGAGATTCCTTCACTTCTCTGAGCAGCCTCTTCCAATGCTTAACTGTTTCATGGCGAAGACTTGGAAAGAAATTGTGCCTGTTGTGTCTTGTCCAGTCACTGTGTGTCCTTGTGAAGAGAGTACCTCCATTGCCTCTCTAACTGTCTTTTAGGCATTGGAAGACTCCAATTACATCTCTCCTGAATCTTCTTTAGGCTGAATAAACCAAAGTCCTTCAACCCTTCTTCACCTGTCAAGTTCTCCAACCATCTAATCTTCTTGGGAACTCGCTGCTAGACCCTTTTTTATTCTTCAGTGGCTATTTTGAACTGGGGGGACCACAGCTCCATGCAGTGTTCCAGGTGTAGACTGACAAAGGCCCAGTAGAGTGTAAGGATCCCATCCCTTGATCTGCTGGCTGTACTCTTGATGCAGTTTAGGATGCAGTTTGCCTTCTTTACTGCAAGGATGCACTTTCATTTGTGTTCAAGTCCAGTTCATTTACTGTTTAACCACTATTGTATTTCAGCCTAAGCTGATGGATTGTTGTGTTCCTATTACATTTCAACCTTGTTTCAGGAAAAATCTTCTTGTTTTTCCTACGTAAGCACAAGGCAATACTGGTTTTGTGGTGACTGCTCCTACTGTGTGCTTTGCAGTTGAGTAGGAACTTGAGTCATACTTGAAATAGGTCTTGGTTATGGATCCACCAGGTTGTTCCCCTACTATATTTCCCCCTCCCCGCTTCATCATGGCTGTAGAACGGTCTGTAGAATTTGGTTTGTTTGATTGTGTAAAATGATATATTCTTATGCTCTATCTCTTGAAAAGTTTTACTGAGGTTTAACTCTTTTATTCCTGGTTGGAAAGTGTCTTCCGCAGATCTTCTTGACAACAGCCTGTAGCTTAACTACTTTTGTTAAATCATCTCGTTAAAAAACCTCTCCTAAATACTAGAGGTGACTTCACTCCTGTCTGACGTGTTAAACATTAGTAGGACAAGGACTGATAAATCTCCTCCTAGTTCACCTATCTCTAGGAAGGCTTATTCCTCATTTAACAATTTATCTGAAAGTATGTCCATCAGTTGCTTTAATACTTTGTGGTCTGAAATGGCTTGCAGAAAAAATCCGGATTAGATTCCAGCAGAATTCTCTTAATAGAGCCAATTACTTAATAAAAGCAATAAGAAAGAAGAAATTATGTCAGAGATTTTGGGCTGATGTTCTGTTTACCGTCAGTTCTTTGAGAAACAAGAGCTTAATGCAAGATTGATTTCATTATACTGACCAAGCTTTTTCAAAAAACCACAAGTAGTTAAAAGCATTTGGGAAATAAAATTTGCTGTATCTAAATGTGCCAGTTATGTGCTCAAAGCCCTACATAAAAAAATTAAATTTTCAGTTTGAATTACAATCTATCCAGTTTCTAGATTGGTTTTTTAGTGTCTGACCAATATTATACTTTTTTTTAGTCTGAAAGGTAATAATAATTCATAATGCTCAGAGCAATTGGAAACAGAAAACAGTCCCTTTTAATTGTTTCCTTCCGCTGTATTTAATTCAGCTTTTCTGGATACATTAAGATTCTTGGCTGATGGGTTTGTTTTCTGCTTCTTGTCTTAATAATAAAAGCTGGACCCTACAGGAAGATTTAGAAAAATAGGGTATTCCAAGTTCTTTCTGAGAACCAACCAAACTTGTAGGTGAAATTTAAGTGGCCCTTTTTTCCCAATGTTTATAGTCAAAATTCAACATTCTAGGCATGCTACTAATATTTAAGGAGAAATTTTTAATTTATACAACTATAATGTTTGAGGAAAGATGACTTTCTCTTAATTTAGTTTCAGTTACCATTTTCAGCACAATATTATGCTGGTTTTCTTCCTCACGTGTTGGGGTCAGGGAATATACTTAAAAAGATAGGAAAAGTGTCTCTTGATTTTGGAGGTGAGCACTTCTTGCTTTTAAATCATGTGAAGAGCCCTGTCATCAGCCCCAGTTATTCTATAGGACTGTTTTCTAGTGCATCTGGACTGCTGCCACCTTGCAATTTCTTTCCTCATGTATTCTGAGCACAAGTCTTCCTTCTTCATTCCCAGGGTCAGTCCTCAGGTATAGGTTGGGATGATCTGGTACACATCACTGCAGCGCCCTCTTTTCCAGCTGTGAGGAATGCGTTCCCGCCTGTTGATGTCCATTCTGACTGTCCTGTTGATGTCCATCCTGACTGTTGCAAAGATCACTATTCCAGCTCCTGGCTTTAACAGTATCGCATCCTTTGCTGCTCCTGTCGCTGTGCTCTCCCATTTCCAGTATAAGCCATTGTTCCCACTTTGAAGGCTGCACACCCTTCCATCCCTCTTTCAGTACTGATACCTCATCTGTGCTTCACTGATGCTGGTGTTTAGGCTCCAACTCCTTAATTTTCAAATAAATACTGCTGTGCTTCCTCTGATATGTGTGAAGCAACCTGGGAGAGTAAAAAGCCATTGTAAGCTCTGTGAGGCAAGGTACTGTCAAACTACATTTGTGCAGTGACGGGCTTTAATGGATTCCCGGTCGATGGTAAGTGGAGTGTACTGTGGGATAATACCAATTCCACAGGTACTTGCTGAAATGATATACAGCATTAAGTCAGTGGGTTGGAAACCGCTGTGTTAGAAACTTAAGATTCAGCAATGCTTCAGCATTCCTCCTTACTTTGATACGGAATGTCATACCTATCCTTAGAGTCCTGAGAGTTAAAAAATTGCTAGTGCTCTTCAGAAGCTTTAACTACTCCAACGTTCTTAATAGTTTGGCTCGCTGCATGCATGAACGGGTCTGTGTTTAACTTGTACATTGGCATTGCCGTAGTCATCCCTCTCCTCCCTTTCCCACATCACTTGGCCATCCTGGGGAGCGAGGGAGTATATTTCAGCCAAGGGGGGAGCACCAGGACTGAGATTTTCTCCCCCGGTAGATTGTGTAGCCAAGGGAAGATGATCACTCACGCTTGATTTTTATCGCTAGCTTGCCACAGGTGACTGTGACAAGAAAACCCCCTCTCCCTACCTTTACCCCTCGTAGTGATACAGATGTGATCAGAGGCACTGCTGTTACAGGGTTGGGGGAAAGAACTTTGGAAACACTTAACTTTGTAAGCAGACACAAGTAGAAAGTTACTGGCTTTAACAGTCTGACATTTTTCCCCATTTTTCCTAAAGCCTTGTACTGTGTGTCTCATTTGTTTGCCTAATTTAAGTAACACTGAACAAGTTTTAACCAAGCATTAATTTAAATGCAATTTCCTGCCTTGAGGAGAAAGGAGGGAGAGCTTCATTTTTTTTTTTTTTCATTGGCTTTTAAATTTTCCCACCCCTGTGGCTTGAGGAAGCTGTGTGAAGAACATGTTCCCACAGACTGGGGGTCTCCAACAATGCCATTTCCGTTTGCAAGCAGGCAGCAGGACGGCAGGCGAGGCGCAGACCACTGCCTTGGGCATTGTGAGCCCGAGCACGTACGCTGACGTCACCAGAGCTTGAACCTGCATTTCGTGGGCTTTGTATAAAAAGTGCTAAAGCTGAGCAGGAAATGGAGATTTCCCTCATATTCTTCTAGAAATGGCCTTTAGCTTTGGTTTTTTCCTCTGGTGGAGGGGACTGCGGTTGTTTTCCGTTTGTAATCCGAATCATCGGTGTGACAAGAAGTACGACAGCCGCTGTTCTCAGCCTGTGCTGAGAATCACTAACACCGATTCCGGGTGGACTTTTCTGCATTAGGAATGCCAGGCTTTGGTGTCTTCTCACAGGCAGATGATGACTGTTAAACTGCTGTCAGGTGAAGGTTTGACCTGTGTGACTGTGTTTCTGCAACTCTGTGGCTGGATGTTAGAGTTCTTGCTGCTTTATAATTTAAAAAACTAAATAAGGGAGCTGGTTAGCCTCTGCCAAAGCCCAGTTAAGTCAGTTAGATATTACAGCATATTTATATTTCTCCATAAAGCTCTAAAAGATAAACTGTGAGTTGTTTTTACTGGTTGTTTCTTAATTAAAGTTTAAACTGACTGCTGTCCACTTAGCCACTTTACCATTGTTTGACTGCCAGCAGCCAAGGCTGCAGCAATCTAAAAGGTCACGGAGGCATCTTGTTCATAACTCTCCTGGACAGGGCTGACTTTTTACAATATTCTATGCACTCTCAGGGGATGCATTTAACAGTGCCACTGAGTTTCCTCCTGGAATTAAAAGATCAAGAATGCCAGATTGCATTTTTTAATTTCAGTTTCACTCCCAAAGCTTATGATTCCCTGCCACTGTCAGTGTTGAATCTGTTGGAACATCTTTATTTCCAACTGAAATTTAGTTTTTGTTTATGATCTTGTTTACGTAAGTCTGTTATGTGAGAGGAGTGGGGGTTGGTCTCTTCTCCCAAGTGACAAGCGATAGGACAAGAGGAAACAGCCTCAAGTTACACCAGGGGAGGTTTAGGTTGGATACTAGGAACTTTTTGTGATTCAGTATAGAAATGGTTTGTTTAGAAGAGAAAGTACTTGTCTTCATCAGTTAGAAATTTGTCTGGTTATTAATGCAGTAGAAGTGGAGAAGTAAAATCTGACCACATGGTCTGTTTTGGGGATTTTAGGCATACATCTTGAACTCGTTTGTGTTTCTGTCTTGGTGTGTACAGTTGTACCACATCCATACTATTACCCTCTCTAGCACAACATTTTACACCTTTTAACACGTTTTTCACTTTTTTTGGAGAGGAAGATGGGGATCTTTAGTATTACTTGGAATTAATATACAAGATTACTGACTTTATCACTTATTGTTGTTCTCAGTAGTGGTGGGGTTTGGTTTCTTACCACAGAACTTAGGCTGTTGGCTTTTTCTGCTGATTTCTTCAAAGTAATTGAACAAAATAAATCCACAAAAAGAACCACAAGTATTGGTGGATTCTGATTGTAATACTGTTTATATTTTTTTTCTGTTCAAGAATATCGACATAACAAACTTCAGCAGTAGCTGGAATGATGGCTTGGCTTTCTGTGCAGTCCTCCATACTTACCTCCCAGCCCATATTCCCTATCAAGAGCTAAACAGCCAGGACAAGGTATGACATTAAAAATCCCATTCCTAGGCCTGTGAAACTATATAATTAATATGGGTTAAGAGAGAAGAATGAACAAATTTGAGTTGTAGAAAAGATTACTAGGAATCATAATTGAAACACTTCAAGCTACCTTGCTGCTATTCTTATTATAACATTCTAATGTTAAGAGATCATTGGGTTAAACAGAACTTTGGAACAGATATAAGAGAAAAAAAAAAAAAGTAACAAAAGGTCATAAATTTAAGCCTGAGGCATTTAACCCAAACAGTTGGGAAGTGTTTTCAGTTCACATGTTGGAAGCAAGGATTGTTTAAGCTTAAAGATTTTAAATCCCATCAAATCTGTATCTTGGCATGTTTTGTTCACCTCTTTCAATATCACAAGGATGTGGTTTCATCCTACTTTCTCATAAGGGTCTGTGATACTCAATATGTATCAAATAGAGGTAAAGCAGAAGATGTCAAGCCTGCAGAGTAGTCTGTATGTATTCTAGCATGCTGTAGTGAGTACTTAGAGGTGTGTTACCTGGAGATGTATTATTAATGATAATTCAATAGTATTTCATTAACACATGATGAGACTTTTTATTTATGCTTTTTAAAGAAGAAATAATTTACTCTTTAGCATTTTGTAACTCAGTCACTCTTCATTGACAATGATTTTTCAGCATTATCTTCTGAATGGGGAATTCATAAAATGTTTCCATACTTTTTTGGATGCTGTTAGGACATGTTCATGCCTGTGGCTCTTTTTAAATTACTATCGTCGAATTACAGGCTCCATTTGGAGCAAAAGTAGCAGCATTACTATGAACACTCTTAACAGCACTTCGCTATGTTTGAAGTAGTATTTCCTTGGATTCTAACATGTTTTTATATCTCATGCAGAGAAGAAATTTCACTTTGGCTTTTCAAGCAGCTGAAAGTGTTGGCATCAAATCTACTCTGGTAAGTTTTGAATGCATGCTGAATGAATTATGTCCCATTTATAAAACTCAAATGACTGTATTGTGTAGCTTTCAAAGATTTTCATGCTTTATACTTAAAAATAGCAGTAGGTGAGCTGAACTAGAGGTTATTGCTCCTGTATCATACTTGACTGAAAAATATAAAGGATACTCCCTACCTCAGTGGCTTTGTTTAATAAACCCACTGTCACCAACAACCTAAGCTTACGTGGTTTTTTGCATTCAGTAGTGACTGAGATACAGACCCATACTGCAGCCGCTACAAGCGAAGGCAATAGCATGACAGCCTGTAGCAGATAAACCCTTAACTATAAAAGGAACATGCACAAAAACTCATCTCTCAGTATGCTAAGAAATAATAATAAAGGCAATGGATTTGCTTGGGAATAACTTGAGAAGTAGTTATGTGATAAAATCTTGAATTCATTAATTCTCTCCTGTCTCTGACCTATTTTCAAATTTTGGGGGTTTTTTTGGAAGTTTGGAGGTACAAATCAAGCTGTGTAATTTTTTCTTTTGCTTAGTGAAGTATGAGAGTCAAGATTTTAACCCTTAATAAGCTGAAGACTTTTAATTGGTCATCAGTGTGAATAATTGGAAGGTTTTTTTCAATTGCTGTTTATAATAAGCTTTCTTATACAAATTTTAAATTTAAATAGTTAGTTGTCAATAGTATAGTATTTACTGCAAAAGGAAGATTTCTGAAGGTATGGAGTTGGGAGAATCCCAAGCCTTTGTGAATAATCACAAAAATTCAGCTGAAATTGCCAATTTCAGAAATGATACTTTAATGATATTTTTGTAACCTAAATTCTAACAAAGCTGCCACAGTTAGCAACTAATAATACAACAGAGCCAGACATTTTTAAAAATAGCACTTTCCCTGATCCTTATCAGAGCCTTTACCCCCCGGCATTGTATTTGCTGACAATGGCAGTGCAACCGAGTACTTGGACTCTGTCAGTGATTTGAAACGTGGAAGTTTCTTACCACGTGCTGATGCAAGAACTGGATTGTGGAGAACTGCAGTAATTCTTACATAATTCAGCTTTAGTTTAAATGGGTGCTGTCTGTCCTTTCTTTTTGTAATGTACATCACTGCAGGCAAACTGAATGGAAATAATCTTCCAAGGGCAAATTGTATCCATCTTAAGGATTTAGTATCTCTGCATACCTACATGCGCAGCGTGTACAGTGTATGTTTGTGGATTTTTTTCCTTGTCCATATTGATGGGTGGAGGGTGAAAAAGGGTGTGAAAACTACTCTATGTAAATAGCAGTGGTAAGGTAAGGGGAAGGTATTTGTTCCCTGAATAAGAAAGTGGATGAGGCTAGTGGAGGGTGTCCCTGCCCATGGCAGGGATGTCCCTGCCCATGGATGGTCTTTAAAGTCCCTTCCAACCCAAACCATTCTATGATTCCTGGGCCCAAAGCTTACAAAATACACCCTTGCAGTAAAGAAAAATTATTAGAAACTACGTCACTCTGTTTTCATTTGTGTATGTGCTGACAAGGGTAGCTGAGAGGCTTTGTTTACCCTGTCTATTCACAGACAATGTGGTATACTGTTACTGTGACATGGGAACTGGTCTATCAGTCACAAAGTGATTGCTTTGCCTTTTGGATAGACCCAAATTGGTGGTAAACTTCCCTCTTCCTTGCTTCTTTACTCAGAAATACTTATAAAGTCATCTAAAGCTCAATCTAAAGCTCAGTAGTCTACTATAAAATGAGATTCAATTATTTATTGATGCTGACTTTTATCGTGACAGGAATTTTTAAGGTTAGCTTCAATTAATATCTGGGCCTTGAGTGTGTGACTCACAGTACCTGGGTAGATTGCCTGGACTTGGGAGGCTGGCGTAGGGTATGTGAACACCGAAGTTGCACCGGGTCACGCATTTCCATCTTAAGTCAACAAAATACCCGCAGATACGCTGCTCACAGCTTTTTATATTTTGTAAGTAATACAGATGGGTGGAAGAAAACAGAGCTTTCTTCAGCAGCACTTTAAATTGTGGAAACCTTAGAGATTTACCATTCCCAGGAATTTGTAAAAACACTACCACATTGCTCACAAGGTGATGATTCCTCATTTTGACCAATCTGTTTTCTGTGACAGGACATCAATGAAATGGTGCGAACTGAGCGTCCAGACTGGCAGAATGTCATGCTGTATGTTACAGCAATTTACAAATACTTTGAAACCTGAAACCCTAATAATTCAACACATCCATGGGATAGAACCAACATGAGCTACCGGATGGAAATCTTACTGAAATGCTAATCCCCATTTCACCGAAAACTGGCAACATTTGAGTCCGCTCAAACTTCAGTGACACTATCCTGGATTGCCTCAGATTGCTTCAGCTACTAAGCCTGGAAACAACTGTTTAAAAGCAAGAACTTGTTGCCACTGTGCTTGGAATAACCCAAGTTATTAAGCTATTCAGATTAATTATGTAGCCTAAAGAACCTGGACTACTTATGTGCTGCCTTTCCAGCCAGACTTCCTGAAGCTTTCTTTCCTAGGAGAGTGAGGTGAATGGATCCTCTAGCATATAGGAGACTGAATGTTCAACTTGAGCTTTGAGAAGGAAAAGGATAACATGGCATCATCGTATTACTGAACTTTTTGTAGCATCCTGATACCACACAGTCTGAATATTCTACCCACAGCATATGCACCCTGATACAGTAGAATTCTTTATGGTAGTTCCTGCCTTTACAGCTATATTCCCTCCTCTAAAATATGCACAGTATGCTAGGAAAACAAGCTTTTATCCCATAACAACAGATTGAGTGGAAAAGTGCTGTCAATACCTCGAAAACGTTGGCACAGAACAGGTCTTCATTGTAAAGCTTCATTATAAGCCTACCTCTGTCACAGTGATGTGGCTTCCAACTTTATCTTATGGATTTTAAGGACTAGCATATGCAGCTCCTGGTTTTCAGGGTATGCTATACTTCAAGGAATCTGTCCAAACTCCCTGTGCTTCCAGTATAACAGAAACCAATCCGTAATCAACCCTTGTATGGCTTGTTCTTTCCCCTCTTCCTCCTTTGCCTGTATAGCACGCACAGCTACCCCAGGCTTCCCTCTATAGCAATACAAGCATACGTCATGGATTTCTGTGGTAGAATTTTGGAACTGGGATAGCATTTCCTCTGCAGAGAAGATATTTTGAATAAGATGTAAAAATGAAGTTGTTTCAAAATCCAGCTTTGCCATGTTTTCTGTCTGTTTTTCATCCATCTTGCACCTCCTCATCTGACTGACAGAAGGTGAGACGTTCTCTGACAAGAACTGTGGAGGAACTGATGTAATGTGTATACACCCAGTAGTCTCAGATATTGCCTGGAAATGACTCACTGTCCCAAGGAAGGAATTGAGAAACATTAGTCTGCTCAACTTCTGTGTTCCTAAAACGTACCTGAATTCATGTAACAGCTCTCGGGCAAAAGAGTTCAAGTAAGTGCCTTAGCGATCATTGAGTTTATCCATCCTGGCACTTCAGGGCCTCATGCAGAATGTTAATGGCTCCAAATGATTTCGTATTTCCATTAGTCATAAGATGTTTGTTTATAATCTTGTTTGTCAAATCAAGGGAAGACTTCACTCTATCATTGCTTCTGCCTCTTATTTTTCTGAACACTTATCAGCACTGTAGCCACGGTTGAACATCTCTCATTAATATTAAGCAGAAGCCTAATTTAGAAGTGAGTTCTGTAACAACTGCTATTTATAAGCACATGTTCTTTCAACACAGTAACCCTGTTATAAAGAAAATGAATCTGCCATTCCTATGGTGCTCTTGTGACTGTTAAGGACAGTTTGAATGTCATAGATGTTAACCCAGTGAATGCAACTGTGCTTGGCATCTGTGAAGTTTCCTCATGGTATAAAAGCACAGATTTAACTCAAAATTATTGCCAAATCCAAAACCCTGTCATCTGAAGAACATAGCCCATGTGAAGAGTAATAATTCAGCATGTCTCTAGCAGCTAGCATTATATAAAAATACATGTGTACACTGATATGTGCCTGTGAGAATTACAAAAGTTTGCAAAACAACTACTTAATCCACGCTGAGGGCCTTTGGAGAAGTTTTCAGAGCAGCAGTGTCTTACACATTCTTACAGCTCTTTAGAACCCTAAATGGAACTAGATACTCTCAGTTTATTGGTTGGTGCATTTGAAGAGCACACGTAATCTAAAGACAGTTGTTAAAGGAGAAGCTTCAAGTCAAAAATCTTCATTAACAGATTTTAATAAAAATCTGAAATACAATTTCTTCTCCCGTAAATTTCTTCTAAAATTTTTGTATACTTCATTTCTTCAAATTAGTTTCAGTAAGAAAACTCTTATTGGAAATGCACCTTATTGCTGTCTCACATTCCATCTCTTCCTACTAAATGCCAGGTTTTGCCAATTTGCGTTTGAAAAACCTTCTGTTCCTCCTCCGAACAGACATCCTTATCTACGAGTGTCTTATTCATTGCCTTAGACTTTAAGAAAATATTTTTCTGATGAAAAGGATAGCATTTCTTGGTCTAAATTCACCTATGACCTCTTTTGTTAAGGTCGTTTGAGCTTTAAGCTGAATTTTTTTCTTCCAAATGCTCAACTTCGCTTCCCTGGAATGTTGTATTAGTCCTTAACTGAAATAACACTGAGGGTATAACCATTTGTAAAAAGGGAACTCACGTCTTCCAGATCTGTTAAAAAGATGAGCTGTGAGTCTTCAGGGGGAGAGAGAACGGAAAGTTATTAGTGCAAAACTGACCGTGTTTTGAACAACAGAGCTCTGTAAGCTTCTTGGTGTGACCCGGCGGATAAACCTCTGCTGTTTTCGTGTCTGTAAAGGGGTATCGCACTCCATGGGGTTTTTTTTTACCATGATAGGTCTGAGCCTTTACTCAGAAGGTGCTGCACGGCTGTCCGAGGGGAAGCAATGAAGCAGTGGAAGATCTGACACTAACGTAATGCCCTGCTGCACTCTGCAACAGGCTTTCTCTGAAGGGTCAAACAGCATTACATTTTTCAAGGGGAAGAATAGCTGTAGCCCTTCTGGACATGGATGATGCTGTTTGGTTTGGTTCCTACTCATAGTTAATCCTGAAACAGCCTGTTTGTTTGTACATATCAAGTGCAAGTGTATGCTGATATATTCTTTTTAATCCAGAAAATATTTCTGAATGTACTGAGAAAAGGACAAATATTTTCTCATCCGTTTATATGACTGCGTTTTAACATGTGCCTTGCAAACGCCTGTGCTGTAGCGTATCAGGGTTACTCATTGCCGGCCGTAGAGCTGGGGTGGGTGACAAAAGGGAGCTGTCGGACGTAGCGCCGCAGATACAGCTGTATCGTCACCTGTGGCCTGCTCACTGAAACGCCTCCTAGACCGGAGCGGTCAGTTGAGAGCCAGACGTGTGTTGGTTTGGTTGTGATCCCCATGCAAGATCACCAGTTAAGAACTGAAGGAACAGCGGTGGGGTTCTCTTCACCAAAAAAGAAGGGATGGGAGAAAAAGCTTAATTTTTGGTTATTCAGGGAAATTCTGTCAGAAGTTTTGATATGGAGTATCTGACAACGACAGAACTGAGGTGACTTCAGAATGGATTACGTTTGGTTTTCAATTAGTTTTGTTTGATCCAGTTTGATTTGGTTGTCTTGTATATTTAAACAGAAACACTAATTTAATATCTCTGGTAAGAATCTCCTTGGCCCTTACAAAGATCTCTTGTTCTCATGCCTCTGAAAATTTGAGAGTGAAATTTTCCCTTTTAAATTTGTGTGGATAAGTTATCCAGAATATGGTATATAATTACAGCATATGCTGATGTAAAAGTAAGTATTTGTCTCTCTTGCATAAAATGTATTCCTCAAGGTACATGTAGCATTTCTGATAGATATTTGTCTCTGGTTTTGTAAATATTTCCATTGTTTGTATTTTTCTTCTAGTCCATCACCATGCTTTAGGGCCCCTTGGTTTGCCAGAGCTGGATGAACGCGGCGTTGATGTATCGCTGTAAGCTCATGATGATACCCCTGGCAGCAGTCATACTCTGCTGTTACATGCATAAGGAGAAACAAATTTGTCCCAAATTTGTCCCTTGTTCTAATGATTCAGTGGTTTAAACTGCTGAGGATCTGCCTTAATAATTTTGTAGCTGTGACGACAGATTCTCACTGGCATGTCGTTTCTGTTAATGATCTCAGTGTTAGGGTCTTGCCTATCTTGTCAGTTCCCTGATTCAGCACTTCAGACATTGGATTCTGATCCATCCTTTTACTCAATTCTCTCTATTTCTGTACAGGCTTGGCCTGGGGTACAGATTTTATTGTAGCCTAGTTTTAAACACCATTATTTGGGAAGTTGGAGATACGGAGAAGTTCTGGGTGGTTTTCTTACTCTCTGCGTTCTGCTTGTGACTGGTTTCAGGTGATAAGTGACAAAATCTCCCAAAGCTGTCCCCTCTGGGTGGCTGGCATGAAGCTATGCATAGGCTCAAGTTAAGCCTTTAAAACTGTGTTCATGTGACGTATCTGGTGACTGTACTGCTTATTTGGCTCTTGCAACTAATATACTCACAGCTCAACGGCAGGCTGCAGTGAGCAGGAGCTAGTAAGGGGCAGAATTCTTCTGGGAAGGAATCCAGTTGTACACCTTAACACTATTTTCTGCCTATTGTGAGTAGTACTCTTGCTGAAGTGGCCTAAGAAAAGGATTTTAAAATAGTAGCTGATTTAAATACATAGTTTGTTTGTGGTCCTTCCCTTGACTTGGTAAATATTTATTTCTGGTTTATTTTTATGTTCAGCCAAGCTCTATTTCTGCGATTCCTTTCTTTAGGCTAGCACGGGTGTACAAATGCTCAGCAATATTAACCAGTTTCAGAAATGATTTGGTGAAAAGAGGTATTCAAGTGTAGTCGTGCTGTCCCCAGTTCCTGTGTGTTGGTTGGCAAAAGGCGTTAGAGCTGCTTAACCCTTCCACGGCTTCCTTACCTCTCCTGTGGGCAACATCTCCCGAGGGTGGCCGTCAGGTGTTCTCACCTCCCAAGTATCAACTCCTTCAATGAGTTAAGGGTTCACAGGCACCTCTCAATATAGTTAATTGGCCCTGTTTAGAAAGGGATCTCTAATAGTGTTTCTGCTTTCAAAGGAGAGTGGCTGGATGGGTTGATTTACTGTCTGGCTTCCTGAGCATTCCTGGTCCTTCCTTCATCCAGGTTTTTTCTGTTGTATTCCCTATGTTTTTTTCCAGCATCAGTGTTGTAGTACACTTTGTAATTGTCAAAGCCAAGATGTTAAGCATCTGGAATATGTAGCAAGTTTTCTTTTGATAATGCTAAAAGATTAAGGCGTGTGCAGTTCTGATTTCTGTTAGTGTTGGTAACAAGTGGGGTTTTTTCCATACGTAGTTCCGCTTGCCAGTTTTTGGGGTGCAACACCCTTGAACTCAGTTTGACAAGGCCACTATCCTAGCCTCCACCAATTAATTCATTCTGTGACTATAGGATTATTTCCTCACACGGAAACTTCAGCAAAACCTACAAATACCAGGGGACTTCCTTCCAACTGACATTATCTTTCACTTGGAATATTCCTCACCCGTAGGCCACTGCCTGCCATGGAGTTGCACGTAAAGCTCCCATTTGTCCCAGCGGGACTGTGG